GAGAGGTATTATCCTGTTAACACCGGCAGCGGCTGTCCTCAGCTCCTCGAACAGTTTAGCTGACATAATTGTTATGTCTGCCCCACCGTCCAGAAGTGCTTCATGTGTGAGGACACCTTCGAGTGTCACTGACAGGTACGCTTTTTTGGCGATCCCCCTTCTGATAAAGTTACACAGAAACCTTAGGTTTTTTCTGACGCTTCTTCACATGTTCAGCCTTGTCTGTGTAATCTTGGTTTGTCTGAACCGTCAGCACAGCAGTAGCTGTTTCTGAGTGTTCAACTTGCGATGACTCGTCATCGTTTGTGTGTGAGTGTAACCCCCCTTCTTCCGATGAGGGGTTGTTGGAGGCAACAACAACAATGTCTTGGTGTGTTCCACCGACATCTGTAATGTCATTCGCGCCCTCAGATGCAATAGTGATTACATCACTGCATAGTGCTCCAGGTTGGTTTCCCGTGTCAGTGTGTTTCAAAGTTTCTAACAACCTGCGTAATTTCTCTGTCTCTTCCGAGCTCAGAGGTGTAGGGCCTTGTTTCTGGAACTTTTGTGATTTTTTCGCCTCGGTTCGTTTCGTCCGAGGTGGGAGACGGCTAGGTACGTCTTTTGGGGGTTCCTTTTCGGACTTCCCTTGATAATATGGGTCCTCTTGGTTCCCATATCTTTGCGTCCTACGCACACCCCATTTACGATAATCACGTTTATCCTCTGAAAGAGGAGCTTTTTTGTCCCAGCGTGCACCTTCATGACGCGGTTTGTTAGTTTGAACAGACTGCTTTTTCTCGCCTTTCTTAGGAGGAGGCAGTGAGACACGCCGTCCTTCCAGTTCTAGGGAGTGGGGTTTAACCTTTACACCAGGAAACACTTCTAGGGGCGTCTTAGCATGAGAACATGCCTCAAACACATTCACAGCACACTGTTTAATCTCATTGATGGATTTTTCTCTGAAATTTGCCATCATTTGTACTGACGTTTTAAAGTCAGTGTGGAGATTTTTGCTGAAAACAAATTTAAAACCTTCTTCCTCCTCCATTCCGGTTTCATTTCTGTTACCAAAATAAGCTTGGAAGATTCTTTTGTAATAGACTTTTGGATGTTCATGCTTGCCCTGCGTGACCTTGTCAGCAGCCGGGAAACCAGCAGGTCCCGTGCAGGGGTCGTACTCTCTGATCAAAGCTTCACACAGAAGGTTGTAATCCCTTCTCGTTGCATCAGGTAGACGCTCGATGAAGGTGAACACCTCTCTGTCCGAAGTGAGCCTTATCAGACTGATTTTATCCTCAACCGTAGCATTAGGATAACCACTCAGTCTGAATGCAAGGTCTCTGAGGTACGCTTTTGTTCCAGTTGAACCCATTGGTCCCGGTACAAAGCGTTGTACATATTTTGAGATTTTTTGCAAATCATCCATTGAAGGAGGAAGTATCAACGGTCTCTCTTGCATGGTTGGTAGTGCAAATTGGTGCAGGTCTGTCCCTATCACCCGAGATGAGGGTGGAGGTGTTTCTCTACACACCTGTGGAGGTTGCAGAATGGGATTAAGAGCAAGAGGTGCACCAAAATCTTTCTGGGGTGATGGCGGGTGGCCTGGACTCTGACCTTGATCTTCTTTGAGTTCCAGACAAACTCGCCCCACATCAGAACTTTTATTTGTTGCCGCGGCTAGTTTCTCCTCACAGGCTTTTAAGCGTTCCTGTGATGTTTGACATTCACTTTGTAAACGCACACATTGTTGGAGTAATGCCTCTTTTTCCAGTCTGCATTCGTCCAGCTCTTTTGATGCGAGCTGCAACCCTTGTTGTAGCACACTGTTGTCTGAACACACAGCTTGGTACCGAAGCTCTTTATCCCTAATGTTCTCCTCAAATGAGTGAGCCTGTAATGACAGCCGATTTTCTAAGAGCTCCCTCTCACCTTGCACCTCAACAGCACGTGTCTCTTCATCAAGTTTAGACTGTTCCATCAATTTGTCAAACCTCTCCTTTTTAGTTGCATATGCTCTAGACAGCACGACATTTCGTGCAACCTGATGATCCAATTCGTCTTTGAGAAGCAGAGAAATTTTTGCTAACCGTTCCTGGCTTTGCTTTTTGTTCTCTTTAACCGTGGCACCTTTTGCTAAACATCTCAGTTCTTCCGCTCTTTGAGTGTCATCAAGGTATTCTAACCGTGCATCAATAATTGGATTTGTTAAAATACATAAGGCTCCCTGGATGACATCCTGGGAGTTTAAAAGGTCAACGTTTTCGTCCTCTCCTGCCATTATCTTCTATTTAAAAATTAAATAGGAAGATGTGGTGTTTTAGGTGGTAACAACAAATCAGAAAAGTTTCCTTTTTCTGATATAATTACGCTTATTTAGTGTTCTAGCAATTAAACGTGTATTACCTTTTCAGCAAATGAGTAAACTTTATCAACTCTGTGAATATCTGGACTGTATCTTTAAAAAGTTTCTAATTTTTCATTTTGCACCTCTGTGTGAGGAATTTATCAGTGAATGAAAAAATGTCTTGGTAAATGCCTTTCTTGCATAAATACCTTAATCACTTTTTAAATGCAACAGTAATAATTCAGCTTGAAGAACGTTTATTAACTCAAAAATGCGTCTGACAGGAATAAACACGTGTAATTTCACCAAAATATCCTAAAAACGAAGTGAAACTGTGATTTCAAGTTTCCACAGGAGGTGGGAGTATAACCTTATTTTATTTTAACCCAGACACTGTTAGTGATGACCAGTAGGAGTCGCGGTGACTTCCTGTGGTTTTGGTGACATCCGGTCGTTAGCCGTTAGCTCAAAATTAGCATCGGCTAGCGTGGTCCAAAAACACCATTTAATGACGGATTTAAAACTTAAATGTGGCAAAGTTTCAGCGATTAGGCTTCAAAGAAACGGAGCAGCGGATCAGATCCGACTTTAAAGCGTTTTTCAACTTTAAACAGCAGATTGAAATTTCTTATGAAGACGAGCTTCATTTCCGGGTCACGTGACTGAATCTACCAATGACAGAACAGCAACGGGGTGTGTTTTTATATCGCTGACTCAGAGGAAGTGACGCAGACACGTCACTCATTTCTCAGCGAATCAGGGCGTACCACACGGCCGTTTTCA